TGTGTATATGTATGTATGTATGTAGGTAGGTAGATAGGTAGGTAAGGTAGGCAGGCATGGATGCAAGAACGGATGGACGGATGGATGGATGGATGGATGGACGGACGGATGGATGGATGGATGGATGTCGACGTGTAGGTGTAGATGTACACTCCCGAGAGCCCAGATTTATCAAGCTGAACCTCACAAACTCACATAATAGTAGTACCACTAGTCATGAGTAATGATCGTGATCATAGCAACTGGCAGTAGTAGTAATAGCAATAGTAGATGCTCCACGTTGAAGATGTTCAGCGTCAGCCTCGTCTCGGGCACATGGTTCTTTCAGTGTCGCATCTTAGAAAGGACCTCCAGATGATGCATCGACTAACCCAAGCCCAGCCAATGTGGGCAGCCTCAATCCTAAACTTTAAACCCTAAAACCCTAAACACTCAACAGGACCTGAACAGTTTGGATCGGCACCTGATGCTGTTCTGCGCCTCGTCGAACCTGGCGGCGGTGCGGTGGCTGATGCAATTAGGCACCCGCGGGCTTGGGTTTAGGCCTTAGGCTGTATGCAGAGCCCAAAGGCTCCAGGCACCTACATAGTATATACTTGGGCCTTACAGAGATATTGTATGGTATATACTCGGGCCTTAAAGAGATACTATATACTGCATGGGTACATGGACGCCTCACAGCACAGGGAAGGCTGCGGAAGAAGAGATGAAAGCACAGGTCCCGTCCAGCTTCCCTTGAAGTTCCTGGCCTTCTTTCGAGCAAATGGCAATGCCTGAACCCCAAGACCCAAATCCGAAACCCTGAATGCTGAACCCGAAAACTTTGACAGGGGCCTTGAGAATTAGAATAGGGTTTTGGGGGGTCTTTAGTATAATTATCGTATGATCTACCTCCAAGCCTTATTCTAGTTATGAAGGCCTTTTTTTTAAACCCTACTTGGGGGTTCATGGGACTTATAAGTACCCTAAATGGAGCTATAAGTCGTTATAAGCGTAGTTACCCTATTTATAACAATAGTTCCTAAGTCCCATGAACCTCCAAGAAACCCGAAGAGGAAGAGTGTCCTCCTTCCCATGGCTGCCATGGCTCCCGGCTCGCAGGCGCCAGGTGGGATGCCTGCGACGCAAACAGCGCCTTGGCCGGCATAGCCTTGAGCCGTCGATAATGTTTCCTGTTTCGTCCTGGTATAAGCGGGAATGGACCTAATTAGTAGGACTGTCCCCTGATAGTCCCTATATACGTATACCATAACATGCCCGCCAACAGCCATGATTCTAATCGAAAGGGTGCAAAGCAAGCTTCGGCAGAAACGCATAAATGTAAGTATACTTCGTAATCATATCCCCTTTAGTCTGTATATATATATATATATGTGCATATGTATAAAAATATGTGCACATAAGTTTCAAATCTGTGCAATATAGAGGCACGACCTGCCTGCACGTCGCTTGCCGCTCGGGAACGCTGTCCATCGTCAAGGCGGGCTGCAGTGAACGGCGAAGCTCTCCTTTGTTGCGAGATGTTGGGTTATCAGAGGTTAGAGGTTGGGTTATTTGGGTTCTGTGACGGTGTAGAGGGGCCTAGTTTGGGGCTTGATCTGAACTGTGGGCTGGGAGTGCCATTGTAAGTGAGCCGAGCTGAGGGCAGGCTGCAAGCTCTTGATGGGTCATTGGGAGTGAAATAGTAACAATACTTACTACTCATAAGAAATATAAAAGCAATAACAGTAATAACAGTAGTAACAATAGTAATAACGGTATTGACAATAATAACCGTATAAAATAGTAATACAAACAGTACTAATAGTATGAATAATACTGATAATGCTAATGATGATAATCATACGAATAATGATAAGAATAGGAATAACAAATAACAATAATAATAGTAACAATCAGACTAGTAACTCTGCGACTATCTCTTCGGCTGCTTTGGAAGAGGGCACCTTTGTAAGGGAGCTTTGCGCCCTGCGCCATGTGTAGGACAGGGTCTTGAGCTGCCGGCCCATTGCTTTTGCCAAGAAGTGTGAGGCGCAGTAGACGAACAAGTCTTCAGGTGTAGAACAGAGCACCTGTTCTGAAACAACCCTTAAATCTAAAGCCCTAAACCCTAAATTACTAAACCCGAAGCCCTAAACCCCAAAACCCCAAAACCCTAAAAGCCCCAAGGCCTAGGCCCTAAGCCCTAAACTCAAAACCCAAGACCCTAAATATGTCAGAGAGGCACCCCAGCTCTGGAGTCTCAAAACCTTTCGAGAGCCCGGCACTTTGCCTTGAACGTGCCCGCAGGAAATGATGGAGCACAGACAGTTACTCGAGGTGGGTGGGCTTGGGGTTTAGGGTTTAGGGTTTAGATGTGCCAAGTCGGGAGAGTCGGAGGTGTTCTGGCCCGCCTAACCAGCCTGCGGAGATTGCTTCAGAAGAGTTGAATGCGTGGGAGGTGGTGAATGCAAGGAGGACTGCAGGTCAAGCGCTTCTCACATGCCATCCCCATTTGCTCACTTGCTGGTTTCCTCGCTCGTTCTCAACGAGCTAATTCATAATCCTGAACGAGCCAATGAGTAGTATATACATGACTGCCCCATTCTATTTGCTCCTTTATAAAGCGGTAGTAGTAGAGAACAGCTCTTCATAGAAGCCTTTAGGGAACCCTCAAGGGAAACAGAAATTGCCGAAGAGGCAGTTGACATGGCTGGCTGGACACCTTTGCACATTGCGGCCAGGTTCTCAGGAGCCACCTGCGTCCTAAGCCCCTAAACCCCAAACCCTAAACCCTAAACCCTAAACCCTAAACCCTAAACCCTAAACCCTAAACCCTAAACCCTGAACCCTTAACCTTCAACCCTTAACCCTTAAGCCGCCCAAGGCCCCAAACCCCTAAACCACACTGTAAGCTCTCGGGCTCTTAGGGTTTAGGGCTTAGCGTTTAGGTGAGTTTAGGGTAAGATCTAAACCCTGAGTCCTGCATCCTAAATCCTAAGTCCTAAGTCTTAAATCCTAAATCCGAAGTCCTAAGCCCTAAACCCAAAACCCCCAAACCCCTAAACCAAAGAAGCAAACTCCCAGAGCCTTAAGATGCCCAAGGCCAGAGAGCTAGGGCCAGAGTCCCAAACCGTAAATCCTAGAGCCCAACCCAAAGCCCTAAACCCTAAACCCAGAGCCCTCAACCGCAAAGCCTTAAACCCAAAACCCTTGGGCCAGAGCCCTAAACCGTAAATCCTAGGCCCAACCCAAAACCCCCCAAGCCTAGGGCCAGAGCCCTAAATCGTAAACCCTTTTGGCAGGAAATATGGCCCAACCACGAAGACTATAACGTGTAAATTACTTACCATAGGTGGAGGGGTTTAGGGTTCAGGGTTTGGGTTCAGGGTTTAGGGTTTGGGTTAATTTAGGGTTCTCCATGCAGAACCTTGCAACCCTCTACCCGGTGGTTGGGGTGGGGGAAGATGCCATCCACGCCACACCTTCAACTGGGTAGTTCTCTAAATTGGGTCTCTTTTTAGGTCCCCACAGTACGGCACCCTTGTAGACAGGACCCAAGGGAGACCCTAATTTAGAGAGCTCCTCTTTTCGCACCCTTGTAGAAACCGTTATAGATTTGTTTACGAGCCCAAGAGGGACCCTAACTTAGAGAACTGTCCTTATAGACACCCTTATAGATCCCTTTTAAGGAGCCCAAAAGAAACCATAACTTTGAGAATTGCCCAGGTGCACGTCGGCCGCCGTGAAGTGGTGATCCGGCTACTGCAGGCGCCTGGGGTGGGATTTCGGAAGATCTGGGTACCCCCGACCTTCAACTCAAGACTCAGAAGG